TGGTCTCCGGCGATGAGAGTGATTTGATCTCCTAGCTGGTCTCTTGCGGTGTGTGTGTGTGTGTGTGTATGCGCGAGTGTGTGTGTGTATATGTGAGAGAGTGTGTGTGTGAGAGAGTGAGTGTGTGTGTGAGAGAGGGAGTGTGTGTGTGGGTCGATTCCCTCTCTCTTATACCCCTCCAGCAGCTCCTCAGCATCCCAGGTACGCATGGAGCCTCCTACAATCTCACCCACGTTGGGCATCAGCACATCCACCTGACAAACACACACACAATTATAACACCGCTCTGCTGAATCCTGCTCTCTGAATACCCAAGCATTTTCCTGAATACTCCTATGACTGAATGTTTTTCATATATACACTACTGCTCAAAAGTTTGGGGTCAGTAAGACTTGTAATGTTTTTAAAGAAGTGTCTTCTGCTCATCAAGCCTGCATTTATTTGATCAAAAATACAGAAAAAAACTGTAAAATTGCAAAATGTTATTACAATATCAAATGATGGTTTTTATTTTAATATCCTTTAAAATATAATTTATTTCTGTGATGCGCAGCTGAATTTCCATCATCATTACTCCAGTATAAAGCGTCACGTGATCTTCAGAAATCATTCTAATATGCTGATTTATTATTATTATTATTATCAATGTTGTGCTGACAAATATTATTTTTGGAAACTGATACTTTTTTCAGGATTCTTTGATGAATAAAAAGTTAAAAAGAACAGCATTTATTCAAAATATAAATATTTTCCAACAATATAAATCTTTGCTTTAGCTTCTTAACAATTGAACACGTCCTCGCTGAATAAAAGTTTTAATTTCTTTAAAAAAAAGAAAGAATAAAACTGTTCTGACTCCAAACTTATGAACGATAGTGAATATTGTTAGAAAATATTTCTATTTTAAATAACTGCTCTTCTTTTTAACTTTTTATTCGTCAAAGAATCCTGAAAAAAGTATCACAGCTTCCAAAAGCAATATGAAGCAGCACAACTGATAATAAATCAGCATATTATGATGATTTCTGAAGATGATGAGACACTGAAGATGCTGGAAATTCAGCTGCGCATCACAGAAATAAATTACAGTTTAATGTATATTAAAATAGAAAAACCTTATTTAACATCATAACAATATTAAATTTTTTCCTGTATTTTTGATCAAATAAATGCAGCCTTGATGAGCAGAAGACACTCCTGTAAAAAACATTACAAATCATTCTGCTCCCAAACTTTTGACCGGTAGTGTAGGTTTATATGAGACTAGTGTAGCTCGACTTTTGCTCTGGTAACTCCGCCCACGGCAGAATCTCATTGGCTCATCTATCTGCATGTTTAAACACCAAATCTGTTGTGATTGGGTGTGATTGTTAATGAGGATCCGGACCGATTCGGTGAGGCGGTGGTCCTAGAAGGATTTGATCTCGGCTGGGAAGCGACACAACAGGATGGTCTGGTTAATGCTGTCTGTCATCAGTCGCTCAGGGGCTTCTGGGATATCCTGCAGAAGTGACACACAAACGGTTAAATAGCTTTTGCACTTAAAGCATGAGACTGGATAAAACACACACCTCTCCAAACTCATAAAATGTCCCGTCGTCCTTCTTGACGTTGTGCTCTTTCAGCCACGCGATGGCTTCGGTATAGTTCATCCTCTCAAAATATTTTATTATTTTTTGCATATGCAAATTTCAAATTTCCATTTAAAATTGAAGTGCTAAAATGACTAAAACTGAAATAAAAATGAATAAAAAACGAAATATCCAGTGCCTCAATTTTTTTAATGAATTTCCATAACCGTTCCAGTCTCTGACAATGTTGTTATTGTTAACTAAAAGAATAAACAATCACGTCCAGAATAAAAATCTCCTGATGATTCACTCGCCCCCGTGTCATCCCAGATGTTCATGTCTTTCTGTCTTCAGTCGCAAAGAAATGAAGGTTTTTGAGGAAAACGTTCCAGGATTTTTCTCCATATAATGAACTTCAATGGGGACCAACGGTCTGAAGATCAAATCAGTTTCAGAGCAGCTTCTAAGAGCTCTACAGGATCCCAGCCGAGGAATAAGAGTCTTATCAAGCCAAACCATCGCTCATTTACTAAAAAAATAAACATAAACTTTTTAACTACAAATGCATGATGTAATACGTCATGCTTGAAGTCCAGCTAGTGCAAGACCAGCATCTGTGGTTAAAAAGCATATGTGACCCCGGAGCACAAAACCAGTCATAAGGGTCAATAAATAAGCTCTCCATTGATGTGTGGTTTGTTAGGATCGGACAATATTTGAAAATCTGGAATCTGAGGGTGCAAAAAAATCTAAATATTGAGAAAATCATCTTTAAAGTTGTCCAAATGAAGTTCTTAGCAATGCATATTACTAATCAAACATTAAGTTTTGATATATTTATGGTAGGAAACTTACAAAATATCTTCAAGGAACATGATCTTTACTTAATATCCTAATGATTTTTGGCATAACAGAGAAATGTATAATTTTGACCCATACAATGTATTGTTGGCTATTGCTACAAATATCCCCCAGCGACTGGTGTGGTCCAGGGTCACATATAAATGTTTATGTTTTTAGTAAATGAGCGATGGTTTCTCTAGATAAGACTCTTATTCCTCGGCTGGGATCCTGTAGAGCTCTTTGAAGCTGCTCTGAAACTGTGATTTGTACCTTTAACCCGTTGGTCCCCAATGAAAAGTCAATTATATGGAGAAAAACCCTGGAACGTTTTCCTCAAAAACCTTCATTTCTTTGCGACTGAAGACAGAAAGACATGAACATCTGGGATGACATGTGGCTGAGGGAATTATCAGGAGATTTTTATTCTGGACGTGAACTGCGTGATTTGGGGAATGACCTCGTAGTAGCCCCGGCTAAAGAAATGCTCCCGGAAGCACTGCGTGACGGCGGATCGCACTTTCAGGATCTTGGAGACGTTTTCTCCACGGATCATCATGTGCCTGTTGTTGAGCTGCACGTCCACGTCAGACTCCTCGTTCAGCAGGTTATATCAGCGCCGCCGGAGACCGATCAGCTCCCAGAAATCACAGAGCAGCTCATGGCCACCCGGAGCCTTTCAGAACAAAACCATAAACTGTAGAAATCATACATGCATGGGGGGAATAACAACAATGACAGAACTTGCATTTTTAGATGAACTATGAATAAAATACTAAATTACTTAAAGTTACTAAATTAACTAAATATGAGAGTATAGCTGAGATATTGATCAGCAGCACATTCTGATGCAACCCTCTGCAGAGATTGTGTAAATGTAACCACTGGAGGAGTATGATTATATAAAAGAGTGCAATAGAATGCTAATCAATATTATGTAGTACAGTAATATAAATCAGGGTGTTTATGTAGTATATCGATCTATATAAATACACCATTGGTACAATACTACACATAAGTATAATAATACAGATCGGGTCGGGTACTGCAGTATGTATAAGAGTAGTATGTGTAGTATAGAGCAGTATGGAGTAATAACAGGACGCAACCCTGCAGCATCGTCTTCATCACCACCATCATCATCATCATCATCATCAAACTCTAAACTGTAGAAATGATTGAACATTACAATAAATTTTAACAATTAAGTCCACACACAAGAAAGAAGAACAATCTTAATCTGTAAGACAGCATTTAAGAGAAGAGAGAAAGAAAAAAAGAGTAATAATAATAATAAAAAAAATACATACATATAAACAACTAAACAATAGTTCAAGGACTACAGTGAGGGAACTATACGAGAAAACAATTCCTCCATGAAGTCTAGCAGCATGCCATTCTTTTTGTTATTAATTTGCATTAGAGACTCTTTCAAAGATTCCATTTCTAATAAAAATAAATTAATTACATTACAATTACATTTCTGATTATGAATGGCGTCGGTCAGTCACTAAACCTGTTTTTAAGTAACATTTCTTCATTGCTTATATACAAAAATATTGTGTGACATTTACCGTAATTAAGAATAAATTGAGCATTGCTTTATAGCTGAGTGCTTCTGACATATTAATATACTTTAATGTGCATGATATTGATGAAGATAAAGCATATCTTGTACAACTGTTAAAATACAAGGGAACGTTTCATATTCATAAAATGAAATGGTCAGACTCCAAACCAATTTTTTCTCACTTTAAAACAGCTTTATTGTAATGCTTTATAAAACTGCACAATTAAAAAGGCAATTAGAGCATATAGCATTGTATGTACATATGACATTGAATTTTTCCTTTGAATATTATTTATATATATATTTACATATTTTTGCACTGATTTATTGCATTTTTGTTATGTTTTGTTGTTTTTTTCTGTTTTGCAATGGATAATTCTCATTGTGTTGTTCTTCATTCAGTAATGTTCTTTATTTTTTTCTAGGTTTTCCCTGCCTGTGTTACTCCAGGACACAGCATACTATTCATTAACAGGACGAGTTTCTTCTCTGAAAAACAAAAACAAAACAAAAAACATACAGGTACATAAGCACACCTAAAAATAGTTTACGCTTTGAACGTTTTATATATATTTTTATTTTTTACATTACATACTGCTTTATTGCAGAGAAACACATAAACATCCTAATTATGCACATTTTTAATAGATCAGCCAATGCAATGGCACCGTGGAAGAAAACAAATAATAAAAAATGTTTGTTCTGGAATAGAAGAAAAATAGGATATAATATCCTATGTGTTATTTTAGTTTCATTTATTTAGTTTACTTTTGTATTTGTAGTCCACCCAGTTTTGCTACCTTTATACCGTAATAATATTGCAAATAATTTTTAATAAAAAACATGAATAACACATTCATATAGGTACAAATACGATAATAAACGCACATAAGATACAATCACGACAGTTGCTTTGCGACAGCTCATGAACGGTTCCTGTGATGACGCTCCCAGGCACCGCCCCTTTTGACGAAGGCAGGCTGGTTGACCAATCACAAACGGGAAGTGTCGTCTGTGATTGGTCAGCCCCACTACCCTCGTCATCACTACACAGGAAGTGTGTTCCGGGAGAAGCGTCGTGCCGCGCCGAGCTTTTCAGCGATTTTGGATCAATCTGAGCGATCAGAAGCGATTACTAGCGACTCCGCGTCTCGTTCCGCGTGTGTTTGAGTCATGGTCGGGGTGAAGGTGATCGGGAATGACTCAGAGTTCCAGGCGGAGCTGAGCGGCGCCGGATCCAGACTGACCGTGGTGAAGTTCACCATGAGCGGGTGAGTGTGTCTGTGTGTGAGGCCGCTGCAGCCGAGCCGAGAAAACA